GTCTTACGGATGTCGTTTCCCTCTGGGCCTTCTTTCAGGTAATCTGAGCCCAAGAAGTGAACCTTTTCCTGTAATACAGAAACCAACATTTAAAGGGGTGATAGAATGATTCTATAGGGTATTTGGTGCTGGTCCTTAAGCTCTCTGAATAGGGTGTGTAACATTAGTTGGACTGAAAATGGCATATTTGCCTGGTTAAAAGCCCTAGAATGAAAACAACAGGTTTTCTTCCTTTTATGGTATGCTCATGAATATTTAGATGAGCTGTGCGCTGATTGGTTGGTTTACAAAGAGCAAAGCTGCTAAGAAAAGATGCATCATAGCAACAAGCACTCACTCACTGAAACATCAGATTGTTGATATGGTAGGGTGACCACACATCCTCTTTTTCCCGGACATGTTCTACTTTTCATACCTAAAAAAATGTCTGGTGGGAATTTCAAAGTCGTCCGGGGTTTTGGTCGACTACAGTGCAACACGTAGTCGAAACACACCGGGCATTCGAACCGAGCCGTCAGCTCCGGAGCTGGTCTTTTTGGGACCCCAGCGGACGAGGGCAGGGAGCCAGCGGGGGACGAAGCGACCGAATCCGACCCGGTGACGGTAGCCTGGACACAAGGGACCATGTTCTTTTCCCCCTTATCGGTCCCCAGCCCCCCTCCTCCGGCTGGCCTGGGCGGCTCATGGCTCTCTGTTGAGGACCGGTCCAGTCAGCAGCCCAACTGTCGACACTCGACGAGTTGACGTCAACTCTGTGCTTCCTTTGGATTCGCCCGTTTCATGGTGGAAGTTTAGAATTGTGAGATTTGCAGAGAAAGGGGGTGTTGATGTGGTTTGAACTTCTCTGTACGTCCATTTCACCCACTGAACTATCGTTATTCATCTATCACAATGTAAACCTGGGTTTGCATTCTTTGACCCCTTTAAGTATGATGATGCAAAACAAGCCTGCATGGTTCTAGATAAAAAAAAAAAAAAAAGCTGTGACAGAATAAAGTTTATTGTTGGTTACCTCATGAGACAATCCACTCTGGATTACACTGTTCCTGGCGATCTCACACATGTCGCAAGTACTTAGTTTGAAGACCTGAGCTGCAATGGCGTACTCCTCCATTAGGGGTTCCTGTAAACATGAAAATAAGGGTTAGTACATCTGTTCTGCTTGTCCAGTTTAGAGTCATTCAGTCCTTTTTCACTGATGTTTTTGTTGGAGGGGGCAATTCACAATGTGGTCTTTAAAACATTGAACACAACTTCTGATCATACAAAACAGACTTTTAAACATCTATAGAAGCACACAATACCCATTGTAAACAGCGATGAATGTGTCATTGTGATGTGAAGCTCAGACCTTGGTGTAGTGGAACTGCATGGGGTCGTCAGTGGACAGGGACACCATTAAGCCCTTCTTGTGAAACTCCAGCAGGGGGTTCTTAGCGTACTCCAGGAACAGGCTGTTGTTGCTAAGAGGGGACATTGCGATCGGGATCTGGGTCAGGAAGTACAGGTACTGAAGAACGGGACTCTGTTTAAAAAAGAAAAAAACATAAGGCTCATGAGTTTACAAGGTTAGATGTAATTTACCCAAGCCTATTAACATATTAAGGCTGATCCAATTAACCTTTAACTGATTATTCAAATAATCCTTAATTTATTTGGTAATTCATGAATCCTTTACTGCAGGATGGAGACTCTAAAATATAACAGAAGAATAACTCAATTAGAGCAGTAACTATACAAACATTGTAAAAGATATATAAAAATTTAGCATTTAAGCTGGAAAACCTTTCTTGTCCATCAACAGACTATTATCAGAACTCCTCAAGTGGCAAAGTTTTAGCTTGATCTGATTTAAATTATGAATAAAATGTTCTGTAAGGAACCTTTTTCTGTGTGATTATCAGTCAGTCAATAAAATATTCAACAGTTTAATCAGTAAGCAAAAGAATCGTTAGCTGCAGCCTTGAAACATACTGCAGTCCCAAATTCCTCAAAATAGACTTTGTCTTACTTGAACTGAAAAAAATGGCTTTGAAAAATTGTGATAATTTCAATGGAACTAATGCTTCATAAAAAGAAAAATACTACAAAGGATGGTTCATGTTTTTAGTAGCATTTAGTCTAATTTTGTAGTCAGCAGTTTGGAGAATCAGGGAGCGATTTAATCAGCGAGTAAAGCTAAATGCTTCTAGTCTTGGTGGAATTTATATAAAAAAAAGTGCTTTGTTAGGTTTTTAAGGCTTATTATTTTATTTCATTATGTATGTAATTCAATTCAATTGATTCAAAGTTTTCTATATATAAGGAAAACCAG